ACTGTATTACACATGGGTTTCATAGGTAAGTATCCTCTTGAAGTTTAGTTGGTTCAACCTGTCCTAGAAAGTAACCGAGTTCTAGGGAAACTCAATATCACTGATCTTTCTTCATTGGTAATTGTTTTATCACAATCAATATTTTCTTGCGGCCAAAATATCCCAAAAGTCCGATCTCAATGAGCATAGTATCGAGTATCAACCAATTTTCAGCTTTCCACCGAAACCGTCTATCTCACTACTTCCTAATGGCCAAGTTATTCAATTAAAGGTTCTAAGGTTAGTTAGTGCTTCATGACACCACACAGCGGCCCCGTATTCTCCTCGATTCGCCACAAGGGATACCGGTACCAGCCAATGTATCACACTAACGTAGCTATTATCTCAACCATATCGGTCTACATCGTACAGTCTCCAAAATCTTTGCTACTTATCTAATAATGTTCCCGGATCCAGGTAGAGGATCAATACAAACCCAAACAAGGACCCAAAAATGTAAAGCAAACAAATTAAATAATGAAAGCATTTAAAGGTGATCTAGTCTCTAAGGTAACCCCACTTTTAAGTTTTCTCCAGTAGAGTTACCAATTTTGTAATACGGTGGGAGAACTGACTTGGGTGTTTTGCGTTTTATTGCAATTGTTGCGGATAGCAAGAGTCTTCACCGACTTTTCTTTTATCCAATAAAGGAAATGATGAAAAGAACAGGAAAGACCTTTTGAGATATTTTCTTGAGTTCGGGGGGGTAGGTTATGAAAAGGGAAGGTGTTAGCACCCTTTTCATCTGTAGTTATCTACGGGCTCTTAGTTGCTAGCTCACTTTGAAATGCTTTGTTTAAAATGTGTTTGTGATAGGTTTTGAAAGTATTTTTTAAAAGTGCCTTTGTTTAAGCGAACTTTGTAATGATTCTCGTTTCGGTGAAAATGTATACAAAGTGTTGACTTTTGAAAATATTTCATTTTAAAAGTGTTGGTGTGTTTGAAAGATGTTTAAAAAAATGGTTGTGAGTAAGCAACTACGAGTATTCTACCTACTCAAAAAAGTCTTTGTTCATTTCCTCCTCCTTTAGATATTGTTATCTTACCATTGATTGATAAGAAGCCCTATCATTGGATGCGAAGGGATGGGTGTGGGTCATCGTATAGTCATAGAAGGCAACATTGTAGGATACCTAAGAAATTCTTGTAAGGGTCTAAGATCATTTACCGAAGGCAACATCAAAGGATCATCGAGGGACTACGATCTTGTGTTCGAGGGTCTTTGCTAAAGTATGTCACGTTCGAGGTACATGACTATTTTTCTCAAGGCAACAAGTGAGGTTAACCCTCGAGGTGCAAGTGTGAAAAATACTTCTTTTTCATGCTTTTTTTGTCTTGAGATTAGGGTTCTCTATTATTTTATTTTTAGTCTTGCCATACACACCCTAATTACTAGCAATTATATTGAAAATAGTAAATTATGGAAATGTAAATTCTACGCTATTACATCTTTTTTGGGGATGGGGATACAAATTTACAAATGGAGAATGAAAGAAATTAAAACCTAATTACTATTATAATTATATTGAATAATGAATAAAAATAAAAATAAATATAAAGATAATGTAAAAAAAATTGTTTTAAAAAACTTTTATGTATTGACACATACACTTATGTATTGATACGAAAAATTTTATGCATTGATACATATAATTCTTTGCTCCTGGAAGTCAAAAATAACTCAGTATGAGTTGACACACAAGGGTTTGTATCGACTCATACTGCTTTGTATCGACACATGCGCATTTTGTATCGTCTCATACTCATTTCTTGCTCTTGGAAGTCAAAAAAACTCAGTATGAGTCGACACATAATGGTTTGTATCGACTCATTTCTGTTTTGTATCCACACATACGCGTTTTGTATCGAATCATAACCTATTTTGTACATAATATGTGTCGACTCATAGTGTTATGCATCGACTCATATTGTTGTTTTTTACTTCTAACATTGTTCTGCTATATGTAAAAATCAGTTCTCAACACATGGTTAGTGAAAATGAAAAGCAAGCATATGGTTAGCTTCAAAGCAATTATATATACATTTTATCTTCACAAATGAACCACTAATGATATTTGTATAAAGAGTTCAAAGTCAATAAAACTTACCTTGAAACTTAAATTTGTGTTTTAATTTTGAGTTGGAGAAGTCAAGTTGCAGGTGGTTGTTTTTTAGTTTGGAAAATAGTGATGTTACAGAAGTTGTTCTTGAGTTTAGACAACTTCTATATGATGTATGTGGAGTGTTTGGATGGTTTGTTTGGACAGAACTTGCAAGGTGTGAGAGGTTCAAAGATTTGGACTTAAAAGCTCAAAAGTGGAGGTTTTATGGACAGTTATGGTTTTTTGAGAGTATGAAAGGTTTTGAGAAACTTGTCTAGACAACAAAAACTTCTACCCTTAAGCTTGCAAATGGCCTCTCTATTTATATAGGAGGTTTGAGAGGATGAGAGAGTTTGTTTTACAAGCTGTCAACATTCTGGTTTGGTTGAGATGAAACAACCAAGTTATGTGAAATTTGATATCCCAATGCATGGTACAAAAGGGATCTGAAATGGCTAGGAGTTTTTAGGCATGTTGCTTCTTGCTTTGACATTGTGTGTCCAGAAAAAATAGTTGAGAGGCTTAAGGAGAACAGACTTTGTATAAAGCATGCTTTATGTGAATGGCAATGGTGCCTTTGTGTCATAAATGGAATGATGCAATGGACAATACTTGAATAACTTGGATATAGGTTCAATCAATTATGTAAACATCTGATTATGGATAGATTTACAAGTCACAAGGCCTCAAAGTAATATTATGCATCACATCATGCAAATTGGATTATTTGTCCTTCAACAAAATGACTTGCAATTCAAGAATGGATGCCCAACTTCATGCCCTTGAATCTCTTAGCTCAAGTATGATAAATTCATGCCCTTAGATGTTTTGGAAAGCTTAAAACATCCTCTATAACTTTCATATTAGATATTTTGACAAAATCATCTTGGAACCATGTGAAAAATGCTAAGAAGTTTGGATAAAATTCTGACCAAAATCTGTTGAAAATTTCTCTAAGTGTTAGATGAAAATGTTATAACTTCATGAGCTTATATCTTCAAATATAAGTGTTTTTTGGATATTAACCCTCTAATACAAAGTTGTAGAATTCATCAAGATCTAAAACTTTCATGTTGAAAGTTTCCTTTGAATCATTTTGCATCATTTTGAAAAATTGGTATGAAGTTATGAAATAAACATGTATAAAACACTTTGAAAAATTTCTAAGTCTTGAAAAGTTTTGACTTTTTAAATTGACTTTTGACTTTCTTGACTTCTTGATGATCAAGCTTGATATTCTTGAATATCTTGATGAATTTTGATCTTTGAAACTTAATGTTGACCAAAAAGTCAAAGTTTGACTTTTCAGTGTACAATTGACTTTTTCATCAGTTGACCAAATTGTATCTATCAATCCACTGATCTTGAAAAATGTTTTTAGCCATGAAATTAGGTCAAGATAATGTCCTTGAATCCTTGATATCATGTTTCAAACCAATAAGTCATGTATTAAATCAAAAGTCAAGAATCAGTTATTCTCAGTCAAAATCCTAATTTTGACCATTTTACCCTTTTGATGATTTGAATATTTTTTTTGAGGAATTATTATCCAAACTTGATCAATTGATGCATGTGACTTCAAAATGTTGATATTGGTCAAAAATATTGAATTTTGGCTGTAAGTTGACCACATATGCCTTTTTATCCAATACAGCTAATTTTCAGTCATCTGAGCAATTGACTGAGTAAACTTGTGATCCAAGACTTGAAACTTGATATGAGTAATCTTGGAGGTCCATTATGATCCATGAAACTCATTTGAGGCATTATAAGTTCAATTGTCCTTGTGTAAATCAAAACCCTAATTTGAGGCATCGGTGTTGAGGAGATGGCTTGGTCTAGTCAACACTTGTGCAAGCTTGAGCTATTGAAGATCTTGTGAGAAATATCTTGAGAAAAGAGAGGGAAAATTTTGGGGTACAACAGTAACCTTACCTTTTTCACCTTCTCAGCGCCTCCAAACAATTTCTTCAGAATCTCTCAGGCTTCTTTTGCCGATTTCAACATTATTAACCTTTTTGAAATTGTGTGGTCTGACATATTGGTGAATTATAAAGAGAGCTTTATAATTCTTCTTCTTCGATTCTCTATATGCAGCTTCTTCTTCCTGTGAAGCGTCTTCATCAAGTGATTCTAATCCAAGTTTCACAAGATCCCAAAGACCTTAAAAAAATATAACATTCATCTGTTTTCACCAATTCTCATAGTTATCACCTTTAAGAAATGTTGGAAAATTTTCGTTAGCGTAATTTATCGCCATCGTGAACTTCTTCTTCCTCAATCGTTCTTGATTGTTCTTCCCTTGAATCACTCAATCGGAGCTCTTGATATCAGATGTTGGAAATCCACCAAAACCTATGATGAGTTTCTACCAATCTTGATGAACAAGATTGATATCACCACACGATGACAATGAAAATAGAAGATAGAGAACGAAAGAAAGTATTTTTGTGCAGAGTTTCTCTGTGCCCACAAATTATGGAAAACTTTATTATTCACTTGCAACTACAAATTCTGTGAATATAATCAGTTGATTTTGATTTCAAAAATAGGGTTTACTCCCTCTATTTATAGATGTAGGTTAGCTTGCTCCCTAAGTCAAAGCCCAAAACTATGAAAGTCCAAAATATCTATTTTGGAACTAAAATCAAATCTATCTATTTTAGACCTAACTCAAATCTTATCTATTCTATATCTAAAACAAATATGTGTGTAACAAACTATTTTCACACTTCTAAATCAAATCAAATCTTTTCGACATTTTTTTGTCTTTGTCGAGTATACTGCTTCGACACAAGGAATTACTTTCAATAATTTTTAGAGTTTATTTCATGAGAAATTGATTTTTTTTCTTCAAGCATGGAACTTGAGTCTCTTCATCAAATTTCTCCACACCTGCTCCATGACAAGAACTTGTTTTATTGTAGCATAATCGGTAAGAAAATGGCACTGTTGAGCACTAAAGTTGTCTTGATTGTATATCAAAAAAAGTTTCTTTTGAATTACGTTAGATGTTGATGATAGGTAATTTGTGGCGTGAATTGTGGCTAACATCTAAACTAGTACCAGCTGTTAATCTGGCACCTCAAATTGATGAGGATTTGACAATGTAAGTTAATAATCAATTTTTTGTATTTATATTCTTTCCTAATATCATTCTTTGTGCACAAAACACTTTTTTGTTTTTGTTTCTTGATGACTTAATTTCTCCATTCACTTACTTAAAGTGATTGTAAACTGGGAGTATGTTGAAGTTGACATAGTATAATTAAGTTTTGAATTTGAATATGATTTGAATATTAGCTTATAAGATAGTATATATTTTATATAGGAAGACATTAAAAATGGCTCTGCATGATCACGAGGAATACATCAAATTACGATTGCTTCATCGACTTCATCTCATTATTCTTCATCATGTTCTAAAATGTCCTCAACTATCAAATTTGAATTTGTATATGCATGATTTGTATTTATGTTTTTTTAAATATATTTATAGGTTTAATAGATTGCAACGAATTCTATGGTTTTGTTTGGAAGAATATCATAAGTTCTTTTATATCATATGGGGAGTATAATGTTAGAGCAAAATCTCTAGATTAATAACATAATTTGGCCGCTGAATCATCTATATAGTAAATAAAGATATGATCATAATAAAAAAAAGTTGATTATTGTTCAATTCATATTTTAGGTTGTTCATGTTCTGCTAACTAAATTTTTAGTCTTCTAAGATCTGGAAGCTGTCTGGTTTAACTTATGAGAATGCCTTGATGAGAGAAATGTTGGAATAGATGAAAAGTGAATTGGTATAAACCGAAAAACATGTTGGTCATAGAAGACTATTCTGAGTCATAGTTTATCAAACTTTTTAAAGAAAAATCCAAAAATTAAAAGTGGATCATAAATAGTATATGAAGTCTGTCATTGATATTTGTTGAAATATTAAATTAGATTTGATTTGATTTGATTTGATTTAATATTTAATATAATCCAAGTTGTGTTAGTTCAAGCCCAATTAGGATTATATATAAATAGTCATAGTGTGTATCATTATTTATACACTTGAATAATACAAATCTTTATTTCCTTTATTATTCTATCTTTCTATCCTCACTAAAAGTGTCTCACGCACTAACAAATTGGTATCCAGAGCTTTCAGTTATTGTTCTTGATCAAGTTTTCAAGAATTTCATATCAGAGATCGTTTTTCTAGGGCAAGAAAATCAACGGCTACGAAGATGGCTAGTGATAAGGGCATTCCAAATTCTCTTCCAATGCTTGACGGTAAAAATTGGATCCGATGGAAAAAACAGATGCAATCCTTATTTGGCTTCCATGAAACCCTGGAAGTGGTTACCGACGACGTTCCAGCATTGGCTACAAATGCAACCGACGAACAGAAAAAAAGCCCACAACGAAGTCAAGAAAAAAGATTGCAAGGCTGCTTATTGCATTCAAATGGTTGTCGGTGTTGCTAATTTCGACAGAATCTCCCATGCTGAAACAACGAAGGAGGCATGGGATATTCTGGTAAAGTATTTCGAAGGAGGTGAGAAAGTCAAGGTTGTCAAATTACAAACCTTGCGTCGACAATATGAGTTGTTGTCGATGGGAGAAGATGAAAAAGTTGCAGAATATGTGTCGAAGGTTCAGAAACTCGTCCATCTCATGAAGGGTTATGATGAAACCATTACTGATAAAATGATAGTTGAGAAGGTAATGAGAACGTTGATCTCTCACTTTGATCACGTTATCATAGCTATTCAAGAATCCAACAATCTTGAAACCACTAAAGTGAAAGATTTGGTTGGTTCGTCTGAGGCGCATGAGATGAGGATTGTCGAAAGGAAAGGAGTTCAGGACTCGATACAGGCACTGCAAGCTCAATCATGAAAAAAAGATGGTGGTTCCAACAAATTCAAAGGCAAGTTCGACAAGACTCATGAAAAGAAGTCTTGATCGAATTCTCATAAGAATAAGGTCAAAGATAGCTCTTCTGAATCCTCGATAAGGGGAGGAGGAAACTATCGAAAGGACAAAGAAGATAAGAAAGGTATAAAGTGTTATAACTGTGAAAAGTGGGGACACTTGGCCAAGAATTGTTGGTACAGAAAAGACAAGGGATTGAAAGGCAAGGACGAAGGAGCGAACCTTGCACACCAAGATTCAAATGATTCAGAAGGTGGTATGATGGTTATGGCTGCAGTTGCAGATAACCATGTTGAATCTAATATTTAGTTTCTCGACTCAGGTTGCTCGAACCACATGACTGGTCGAAAGGAGTGGTTGGCAGATTTTGACGAGTCGAAGAAGAACAAGGTAAAACATGCTGATAATAGTTCGTTGCAAGCAGAAGGTATTGGCAACATAGTCTTTCAAATGAGTAATGGAGGGAAAGCTATGATTAAAGATGTGCTCTATGTACCTGGAATGAAATACAACTTGTTAAGTGTTGGACAACTAGTTGAAAAAGGTTTCTCAGTTGTCATGAAAGATGGAGTTTTGAAATTGTTCGACACTAAGAACAATTTGGTTTTAAAATCTCCATTATCGAAGAACAGGACATTTAAGACTATGATCAGTTCGACAGAATTTCAATGTTTGAAAATTGTTGTCGACCACAAGGATAGTTGGTTGTGGCATTTGAGGTTTGGACATTTGAATTTTCGATCACTTAATCAATTGATTACTCAAGATATGGTTACTGGTATTCTAAGTCTTTAGATGCCTGAAAAACTTTGTGAAGGTTGTTTAGTGGGAAAGCAATCTAGAAATTCTTTCGTTTCAACTATGTCAATGAGATCATCCTGCATTCTCGAAGTGGTGCATTCAGATGTATGTGGTCCATTTGAAGAACATATAATTTGTGGAAACATATATTTTGTTTCCTTTGTCGATGAGTTTAGTCGAAAGATGTGGATCTATGTGATCAAATGAAAGGACGAAGTATTCGAAATCTTTAAGAGATTCAAGATACTTGTCGAAAACCAGAGTGAGAAGAAGATCAAAGTTCTACGAACAGATGGAGGTGGCGAATACACATCCAAGATGTTTGAAGATTTCTGTGCAGAACATGGTGTTGATCATGAGGTAACTGCTCCTTACACACCTCAACATAATGGAATTGCTGAAAGAAGAAATAGAACCATATTAGATATGGCAAGATGCATGCTGAAGCAAAAGAATTTGCCAAAATCTTTATGGAGAGAAGTAGTTTCGACTGCAGTTTATATTTTGAATAGGTGTTCTACTAAGATATTGAAGAACAAGGTTCCTGAAGAAGTGTGGAGTGGCAAACGACCATCAGTAAATCACTTGAAGGTGTTTAGCTCTATGTGTTACAAGCATGTTCCTGATGCAAGGAGAAGGAAGCTTGATGACAAGAGTGAACCTATGATTCTGGTAGGATATCATAAAACTGGTGCATACAGACTATTCAATCCAGTTAATGAAAAGATTGTGTTGAGTCGAGATATTGTGATTAATAAAAATTCTGCCTGGGATTGGAATTCTAGCAATTCAATTAACAAATCATTAATGAACTTTGATTTCGACGAAGAAACTAATGAAGTAGAGGTCGAAGGAATTGTTGAGAATCCAGTCGAAGTCGAAAAAGAAGTGATTGCTGACACTCCGTCACAGCCGAAGTCGAAGATGTTGTGGCTGAAACAAGCCAAAGACCTCAAAGAAATAGAGTTCTTCCAACAAGACTTCATGATTATGAAGTGATGGATGATGATGAAATCACACCAGATGGAGAATTAGTTCATTTTGCTTTACTTGCAGGTGCTGAACCAATCAACTATAGCGAAGGTTTGAAGATTAACAAGTGGAAGTTAGCTATGGTCGAAGAGTTACAGGCAATTGAAAGAAACAACACATGGGAGTTAGTCGAATTGCCAACATATACAAAAGCTATCAAAGTAAAGTGGGTGTTCAAGTTGAAACACAATGCAGATGGGTCAATAGCAAGACATAAAGCAAGATTAATAGCTCGAGGTTTTCTTCAAAGAGCAGGACTTGACTACTCTGAAGTATTTTCTCCAGTAGAAAGATTAGAGACTGTTCGACTAGTAGTCGCATTGGTATGCAACCAAGGCTGGTCAACATTTCATCTAGATATGAAATCATCATTTTTGAATGGTCCTTTAGACGAAGAAGTTTATGTCACACAACCTCTTGGGTTTGTGATTCAGAAGGAAGCGAGTAAAGTATATAGATTGCACAAAGCGCTTTATGGCCTTAAGCAGACACCTAGGGCATGGAACAAGAAGATCGACTCATACTTAGTCGAATTAGGATTTGTCAAATGCAAATCAGAGTATGGTGTCTATGTTCAGGTTGTAGCACAAGATATAACAATCATTTGTTTGTATGTTGATGACTTGCTAGTAACTGGAAATAGTTTTGAGAACTTGTCGAAGTTCAAAGAGCTGATGACGAAGGAATTTGAAATGTCGAATCTAGGAAAATTGTCTTATTTTTTAGGCATGGAATTTCAAATGTCGAAGCAAGGTATGGTGCTACATCAAAAAAAGTATGTCAAATAAATACTCAAGAGATTCAGAATGGATGATTCGAACCCTGCATCCTCACCTGTCGAACCAAATGTGAAGTTGGAGAAGAATGGAGAGGAAGACAAAGTTGATGCAACTTTATTCAAGCAAATTGTGGGATCTCTGAGGTATGTGTGCAATAGTCGACCTGATATAGGTTTCGCAGTCGGATTAGTAAGCAGATATATGGGTGAACCGAGAGTGTCACATATGAAGGTTGCAAGAAGAATCCTTCGATATTTGAAGGGTTCAATAAATTGTGGAATACTATTTCGACGAGATTCTGAAGGCAAAGAAGCAATAGTTAATTGTTTTTCAGATGCTGATTGGTGTGGAGATAAGAAAGATCGAAGAAGCACAACTGGATATTTCTTTCAAGTATTTGGTGCCCCAATCTCATGGTGTTCGAAGAAGCAATCTGTGGTGGCATTGTCATAGTGTGAAGCTGAATATATAGCGGGATCCTATGATGCATGTCAAACAATTTGGATCAGATCTGTACTTGAAGAAATGATTGTCGAAGTGAAGAAACCTCTAGTATTGCAAATCG